CCTGGGTGCTGTCCCTCAGCTCTTCAGCTCAAGGCTAGCGCTCTACCACTTGAGCCACAGCGCCACTTCTGGCTTTTTTCTTTTTGCTTATGTGGTGCCGAGGAATCAAACCCAGGGCCTCTGGCATAAGGCAAGTGCTCTACCACTGAGCCACCTTCCCAGCCCCTCTCCAGATTTTTTTAAAACTTTTTTTTATTATAGTAAGTTTCAAGGTAAGGGAAAATGACAGATTCAGTGATATACTGACAACTTTAATTTTATTAGTAAAGCTTGTATCATTTGCAGGGTGTAAACCAGTGCTGTGAAGCTTCCAGGTCAGAGATGACTGAACTGTTACATGGACATAAAGCAGCCTTTGCCAGCCAGCATAATTTGTTTCTTGATCAGATAACTGCTGATGAAAAAAAATTGATGGCACAAAGTCTAGAACTTAATGAAGCGGTAAAAGTTGGTCTGACCAAGCTTAACTGCTTTCTGGAACAGGATCTGAAACTGGATATCCCAACAGGTATTTTAAATTGGAAACAGAATTGATTTTTTAAGGTTGAATTCAACATATACAGTGTTAGGTGTTCTTTTTTTAAATTAGCTTATATTAGTTTTGGGATGAGGGATTAATTGTATTGTTTGGTGGTGTTCTTTATAACTAGGTTCTGCCACTGCCTAATAGGAGTTTATCATCCTAATATAGTCAAATATGGAAAAAATGGTACTCCCAAGATAGTGTTAGATGGTATGTACTTCAAGGACTTGGATATCACAGTACAGTGTAACTGGCTTTACTAGCAAAGGACGTGGTAGTGAATGCATATAATCCCTCTACGCAGGAGTCTGAGGCAGAAGGACTGAGCGTTTAAGCTCACCTTGGGTTATACAGTGAGACCCTATGTCTTGAAAAAGAAAAAAAAAGGATATTTTAAAACAGACCAACCACCTACCTAGTGTTATGTGAAAAGAGATGTGATTGAATAAATGCAGTTTGATGCAGAGCTCACCATATTGTAGATTTGTCATGGACTGCTAGTGAGTGGTAATCATCACTTTGAGAACTAGTAAGCACAGTGATCCATGAAAACCTTCATTGAGGTAACAGCTGTTTTTTTTTTTTTTTTTGGGTCCGGTCGTGGGTCTGAACTCTGGGCCTGGGTGCTGTCCCTCAGCTCTTCAGCTCAAGGCTAGCGCTCTACCACTTGAGCCACAG